AGATTGGCATTGTTCTTTGACAAGCTTTTTCAGAAAACAGTTCCCTGAAATTTTTAAGAGGCTATGAATTGCTGGACTGCTAAGCTCTGTAGCTCCCTGAGCTTGTGTTGTGATTATCTAGGTAGTCCACACTGTCTTCCTACTAGAGCCTAAATTTCCTACAGGTAAGAGTCAGGTGATGATCAATGATAAGTTCTATACCTATTTACTGAATAAAGGAATGAAATGAATGAATGAATGAGTGAATGAAGAAAGCCCCAAAAGACTCCTTAGAATTTAACTACTCAGTCACCTCTAATTCTTACTACATTGTCTACATCCCACCGAAAGGTGCCTTATCTAACTCAGTGATACTAGGTCTTTTCACAATAAAATGAAAGCTTCTAAAACAGAATTAAATGAGCAAGTCAAAAGCAGATGGTTAAATGCACTTTTAGGGTTCAGACTTACGGAAGTCCCTGTACTCTGCCACATGTGAGATATCCGGTAGCCCACCAGGTCCCCATCCTGCCGCTTAATTGGAGGCTTCATCCATCTGACGTCCACATTATCACCAGATTCATTCAGAAACACAGTGACATTTAATGGCGCTACTGATGGGGCTACAAAAGAAAAAGGAGAGAAGGATGAGGAACCACAAAGAAAAGCACACACAGATTCATTCTCTTCTTGGTTTCTGAGTGTTTGGTTTTCAAATGTTCTATGTAAAGCATTCAAATGAAACTAACACTAATAGATTTTCACCCTCTTTTCAAGTAAGGACCATTGAGATGTCATGCGAGATTAACAAGTAAGCCCTTTCAGGCTACTGAAGCCTCAAGACTCATTTCTTTTGTTGAAATGTCACAAACTCCCAAAGTAAAATAACAAAGAAGAGAAAGGCAGGGAAGAAGGCAGTGGTGCTCACGGACTTGTGTGGAAACAGAACAGACACAACTGGAAGAGTGTTCTCCAACAGAAATCTGTGCGGTGGAAAGTCAACAAGGCTCCTGGAGATCAGTTCTGTGCATCTGAGATGGGCAAGGCAGGAAATACTGCTGAGCTCAGAATGGAGCTGCCATTTTAAAGTCCAGGTGCAGGTTACTGCTGGTCTAAATAGAGCTAATCAGTCAATAGACTGAAGACTGTGTATATATCAGGGTACTTCAAAAAGTTGATGGAAAGATCCATATTATCTTTTAATTCTATTTTTCCATGAATTTTTCGAAGTACCCTTTTAAGTGTGTGAGTATGTATAAAATAATTTGGGAAACAAGTCAAGATCATTACTATAGCATTTTTCGGGAAAGAGAAACGACTAAACCTATTAAAAATTAAAAATAATATGTCCTTTGACCAAGTATTTTATTTCCAGGAATTTAATCTACAGGTGGTATTATATTCATTGCAGCATTAGTAGTGACAAAAAAGAATATAATGCT